GGCTCAGGCAATCCGCTCACCTCAGCCTCCCAAAGGCACGGGATTACAGGCTGAGCCACCGAGCCCGGCTGGAGTCTTTTTTAATTGATAAATTATTTCTCACTGGTGACAGCAGTGATTTAGAATTTTATGGCCTAATCATTGTGATGTCCACAAATGGATTTTAGAGATTTGTTCTCCCTTGTGTGAAAGACAACATAGGTAGTCTGAGTTTTTTATTTTATTTTCATTGTTTGTCTACTTGTCTATTTTGAATTCAAATTAAGAGTCTTATGTGCACCAGTAAAGAGAAATTATAAGCTGATTATGTGTCTGAGTGTCTAGATGCTTGCAATTTTATTAATATCTTCATCTCTTTTTGTGTGAGTGCATAAGATTTTCCTATTTCTGGAGAATAACAAAGAAGATTAAAATGTCTCCTAAATTAAAGAACTCTATTCTGATTGATTTATAGAGTTCTTATATAAGTAAGCTCTTATATAAATCAAACATTCATAAAATTTCCAAAAACAAGAAAAATTAAAAGTTATAATACTTTAAATTGTGCTATACTTAAAAAGTTATTCTTACAGAAACTCAAGATGTTTTGAAAATTTAAGTTTATGTAATCACAGTAAATCTTTGGTAAAGAAGACTGATATAATAATTTTGATTTAAAATTGTCCTGTGATTTATTTGTGTTAGGTTCAATATAATAAACCTTTTGTTTTACTTGAGATTATTGTTCTTAAATTTATTTAGGTTAACTGATCAAATAAGCTAACATTATTCCTATAAAATATTTAAGACAATGAAAAAGGTGAATTTGTATTTAACTAAATTAAATCATTATTCTGACAACTTTATTTAAATAGTAATTAAGGTTTTTGAAAGTAAATTAGTTTGACTCTACTTGCCAAGGTCTTTATGTAACATAAAGCCTTAAACTGATGTTAAGTTGTATTATATAATGAGTACTCATCTAATTAAGATAGAATACTGAAAATTTGATGCCTAATTACTATGCATAATTTTAGCTTATACAGTTTTGCTTGCCTAATTACTATGCATAATTTTAGCTTATACAGTTTTGCTTGTATTCTATAGAACATGCATGTCTTTGAATCCTGTTAATGAACGTGTTCATTTTGTTGTTTTAAAAAGGTATGTGTCTACTGAAAGTTGCAATATAAATTTTACTGGTCTGTTAAAATACTCATGGAAAATAGATAGCTTTTAATTATCAGCTTCCCGTTTTCTCTATGAAATACATTACTTTGGTAACATCACTATTTAATTTTTTAAAATTTTAATAGCTTTAGTACAAGTATTTGTTTGTGTACTTAGATAAATGTTATAGTGGTAAAGTCTGGGCCTTTAGTGTACATTGTACCGATAGGTAATTTTTCATTCCTTAGCCCTCTTCCCAACCTCTCCTCAAAACACTATTAATAGGAATGGTTGAGACTATGCTGTGAGAACTGGGAACAGAATAATACCACCATATATGGCCTTTTGTGTTTCAAAGGTAAGGTAATTGTAGTGGTTTTATAGTAGTACATAATAGTGGCTAAATATAGACTGCATATCTAAATATCATCGATCTATCTATCTATCCATCTATCTATCTATCTATCATCATCATCATCATCATCACCTTTCTAGAAAGAGAGAGAGAATAGTGGTTTTTCAAGCTCCCTCCCCACCTCAGAATCTGTATAATCTTAGGACTTACTAAGGACCCTAAAATCTTTTACTTGTGTGGGTTACAACCATCAATATTTATACCATATTGTAAGTTGGAATTAAGATATTTTTAAATACTTAGTTACTGATTCACTTGACCATAAACATGATGAATGCATTGAAGCTTTAACAAAAATAACATTTGAGTATATAATAATTGTCTCATTCTCATAGATCCTGAGAATTGAAGTGATACAAAAAGCAAAATGGAAAAATTTCAGAAATAATTTTTCTTGCCTTGATTTATAGCAATTGAACCTAAAAAGAGGTTATAAAATGTATTATGTTTTTATAATCAGATATACCACTCACAAGCTTCTTTTAAAATACATTTAATCATTATCTGTAGAGATGTTTTGTCTGACTTATTTTGCAGAGGTTTTATTATCTTTGTTTTGCACACCTCTGAAATAATTAAATTTCCTTTCCTGCTGTGGTATTTATATTATGAACTCTAATCAGACTGTTCACATTTGAAAAATTTTGGCAACAAATCAGTCACAGTCCTTTTGGGTCCCTATCATCTACAGATACCATTGTTCTACTCTGATGCTTTCTTGAAGTCTCTGTTGTAGGTTACAGGCCAGAATTTATGACTTCAACGAAGAACAGTATCAGAATCTCATGGAAAAGGTCTGTAGCCAAGTACTTTAATTAGTGACCCTTCAAAACTGAGCTGACATCAGTTGGACAACTTTCAGACTGCACCATGAGTGAACAGAATGGGGATTTCCAGGGAGATTGGGGCTGAAGCAGAGGGCTGCATGTGATGGTTTACACAAGATTCAGTGAAGCAGGAATTGTTTGTAATAAGACTGAAGGCAGTAATGAGAGACACTGTCTCATAGCTATTTTTCTGGGATATTGCTGATGTTTTAATGTTCCATTTTCCAGATGTAGAAGAACACCCTTCCTTTCTCTTCTAAAGCAATCTGTCATCCATAGAAAAGTAGTAGACTCTACTTTTACAAGCTAAAGTGAAACATTTAAAAATAATATCTGATTCTCACTTATTCTTTTAGGATTCACAAATTCTTATTAAGTCTTATTTTCCATGACCATTTGGAAATCTGCATCAATTCTGTAAGAAGCTGTCAACCTTTTACCAGGATGTAATTGCACAAATTATAAAAGTAAAGCCTTGCCTGCAA